ATTGAGAATAAATGGATCTTCAAGAAGAAGACTGACGCTGATGGTAATATAACTATCTACAAAGCTCGACTTGTTGCAAAAGGTTTTCGACAAGTTCAAGGGGTTGACTACGATGAGACTTTCTCACCAGTAGCGATGCTTAAGCCTGTCCGAATCATGTTAGCAATTGCCGCATTTTATGATTATGAAATTTGGCAAATGGATGTAAAAACTGCATTCCTGAATGGACTTCTGGAAGAAGAGTTGTATATGATGCAACCGGGAGGTTTTGTCGATCCAAAAGGTGCTAACAAAGTGTGCAAGCTCCAGCGATCCATTTGCGGACTGGTGCAAGCATCTCGGAGTTGGAATAAACGCTTTGATAGTGTGATCAAAGCATATGGTTTTATACAGACTTTTGGAGAAGCCTGTATTTACAAGAAAGTGAGTGGGAGCTCTGTAGCATTTCTGATATTATATGTAGATGACATATTTTTAATTGGAAATGATATAGAATTTCTGGATAGCATAAAGGGATACTTGAATAAAAGTTTTTCAATGAAAGACCTCGGTGAAGCTGCTTACATATTGGGCATCAAGATCTATAGAGATAGATCAAGACGTTTAATTGGACTTTCACAAAGCACATACCTTGATAAAGTTTTGAAAAAGTTCAAAATGGATCAGGCAAAGAAAGGGTTCTTGCCTGTATTACAAGGTGTGAAGTTGAGTCAGACTCAATGCCCGACCACAGCAGAAGATAGAGAGAAAATGAAAGATGTTCCCTATGCTTCAGCCATAGGCTCTATTATGTATGCAATGCTGTGTACCAGACCTGATGTATGCTTAGCAATAAGTTTAGCAGGGAGGTACCAAAGTAATCCAGGAGTGGATCACTGGACAGCGGTCAAGAACATCCTGAAATACCTGGAAAGGACTAGGGATATGTTTCTCGTTTATGGAGGTGACAAAGAGCTAGTCGTAAATGGTTACGTTGATGCAAGCTTTGACACTGATCCGGACGATTCTAAATCGCAAACCGGATACATGTTTTTATTAAACGGTGGAGTTGTAAGTTGGTGCAGTTCTAAACAAAGCGTCGTGGCAGGATCTACATGCGAAGCAGAGTACATAGCTGCTTCGGAAGCAGCAAATGAAGGAGTCTGGATGAAGGAGTTCATTTCCGATCTAGGTGTCATACCTAGTGCATAGGGACCAATGAAGATCTTCTGTGACAATACTGGTGCAATTGCCTTGGTAAAGGAATCCAGATTTCACAAGAGGACCAAGCACATCAAGAGACGCTTCAATTCCATCCGGGACCAAGTCCAGGTGGGAGACATAGAGATTTGCAAGATACATACGGATCTGAATGTTGCAGACCCATTGACTAAGCCTCTTCCACGAGCAAAACATGATCAACACCAAGACTCCATGGGTGTTAGAATCATTACTGTGTAATCTAGATTATTGACTCTAGTGCAAGTGGGAGACTGAAGGAAATATGCCCTAGAGGCAATAATAAAGTTATTATTTATTTCCTCATATCATGATAAATGTTTATTATTCATGCTAGAATTGTATTAACCGGAAACATGATACATGTGTGAATACATAGACAAACTTAATGTCACTAGTATGCCTCTACTTGACTAGCTCATTAATCAAAGATGGTTATGTTTCCTAACCATAGACATGTGTTGTCATTTGATTAAAGAGATCACATCATTAGGAGAATGATGTGATTGACTTGACCCATTCCGTTAGCCTAGCACTTGATCGTTTAGTATGTTGCTATTGCTTTCTTCATGACTTATACAAAGTTCCTACAACTATGAGATTATGCAACTCCCGTTTACCGGAGGAACACTTTGTGTGCTACCAAACGTCACAACGTAACTGGGTGATTATAAAGGAGCTCTACAGGTGTCTCCAAAGATAGATGTTGAGTTGGCGTATTTCGAGATTAGGTTTTGTCACTCCGATTGTCGGAGAGGTATCTCTGGGCCCTCTCGGTAATGCACATCACTATAAGCCTTGCAAGCAATGTGGCCAATGAGTTGGTTACGGGATGATGCATTACGTAACGAGTAAAGAGACTTGCCGGTAACAAGATTGAACTAGGTATTGGATACCGACGATCGAACCTCGGGCAAGTAACATACCGATGACAAAGGGAACAACGTATGTTGTTATGCGGTTTGACCGATAAAGACCTTCATAGAATATGTAGGAGCCAATATGAGCATCCAGGTTCCGCTATTGGTTATTGACCGGAAACAGTTCTAGGTCATGTCTACATAGTTCTCGAACCCGCAGGGTCCGCACGCTTAAAGTTATGATGACATTTTTATTATGAGTTTATATGTTTTGATGTACCGAAGGTTGTTCGGGGTCTCGAAATGGTCGAGACATAAAGATTGATATATTGGAAGCCTATATTTGGATAACGGAATCGTTCCGGGAGAAATCAGGATTTTTCTGGAGTACCAGGGGGTTACCGGAACCCCCCGGGGGTTAATGGGCCTACATGGGCCATGAGGGAGAAGAGGAGGGCCGGCCAGGGCAGGCCGCGCGCCCCCTTCCCCCCTAGTCCGAATAGGACAAGGAGGGGGGGGGGGCAGCGCCCCCCCTTTCCTCTTTCCCCTCCCCCCTTTCCTTCTCCACCAAGGCAAGAGGGGGGAGTCCTACTCCCGGTGGGAGTAGGACTCCTCCAGGCGCACCCCTAGGGGGCCGGCCGCACCTCCCCCTCCCTCCTTTATATACGGGGGCAGGGGGCACCTCTATAGACACAAGTTGATCTTCGTGATCATTCCTTAGCCGTGTGCGGTGCCCCCCTCCACCATATTTCACCTCGGTCATATCGTTGCAGTGTTTAGGCGAAGCCCTGCGTCGGTAGAACATCATCATCGTCACCACGCCGTCGTGCTGACGGAACTCATCCCCGACACCCTGCTGGATCGAAGTCCGGGGATCGTCATCGAGCTGAACGTGTGCTGAACTCAGAGGTGCCGTACGTTCGGTGCTTGGATCGGTCGGATCGTGAAGACGTACGACTACATCAACCGCGTTGTCATAACGCTTCCGCTTACGGTCTACGAGGGTACGTGGACACACTCTCCCCTCTCGTTGCTATACATCACCATGATCTTGCGTGTGCGTAGGAAATTTTTGAAATTACTACGTTCCCCAACAGCCTCCCCCAACCGGCCTGAGGCATGACCGGCTTCCTATGGCCGGCTTGCTCCCCTCCTCGGGGCGCGCGCACCATTAAGGAGACAAGACGAGGTAAGGCTACAGTGAGAGCCCGCATGGCGGCGGCACTGTAGCCATGCTTACCACGACAAAGCCCTCGTCATCAGAGGCAAGGCAACAGTAACCAGCCCCCGGCAAGACCCCCAAGCGGTGGGGCCGGCCTGTCGTTCAATGACCCGGCAGCCGGCGGGACCCACCAGTCGGCGGACCCCAGCGGCCGGCGGAGAAGCCGGCGGCCACAGACACTGACGGCTAGGGCCCGCGCCCAGCCGGATTACCATTGTACCCCCGGGGGGTAGGCCTATATAAATCCCCCGGGGCACCCATGCAAAGGGTTGATCTGATAGAGTTCTAGACACTACCATAGGGAGAGAAGAGAGCTAGCCTTGCCCTTCTTCCTCCTCCCACCGAACAGCTCAAGGAGCCTCTTGTAGCTTCTTATCGATCTAGTGATCACGCGGAGACCCCGCAAAGCAAGAGTAGGGGTATTATCTCCACGGAGAGCCCCCAACCTGGGTAAGATCCGCCGGCGTGCATGTCTTCGCCTCATCCCGTTTCCAGGCACCGGCGATGTCTTACTGGCTCCCACAATGATAAGCCATCCGTTGGCATATGTCGCACCTACCACCTGACAGGGAGCGGTTTAGGGTTTTGAGGGTGTCGGGTTTCGAGGGGGCAGAGAGGGGCCGGAGTGGGAAGTGTGGACGACGACCGGTCCACGGCTTCCCATTTAAGAAGGACGACGACCAGGAGCTGCGCGGATGACAGGTGGGGCCACCCGCCCGTGCACATTTATGTTGGCGGGTGGGAGGTAGGTGGCCGCCTACCACGCGGCCCCGACGCGGACGCTCGAAGCGTCCGTTCGCTGTCCGCCGCGACCCAAACCCGGCACAAGTTTGCGCTCGAAATGGGTCGGCCCGAAAACAAAACGGACCAGATGGGTCCGGGCCGTCGCGCGCTGGGCCGCCTGCTTTGTCCGTTTTGCCCCAAACGGATGAGGCCGGACAAGATAGGGTCGCGCGGTGGAGTTGGCCTTAAATGGACGCGGACAGGATGGGGTAAAAGGATGCGGTGGCGCGCTGGGCGCACGGCCACCACATCTCAGGACAGACCCGGACATGACCCCATCCCCATGCCCAAACGGACAGAATCCGGATAAAACGGACGTCTGTTTGAGGTCGCGCGGTGGAGTTGGCCTAAAGGGTCAGCTTTGTCATGTGTCACACTCCCCGCTATGACCAGCTAGCAAAGGAGGGGATACCGGGATGCCCAAGGATGGGCAGCGATGCGTCTCCGCACAAAAAAAGAGAGGAGAGAGACTAGTGGTACTGGTTGGACGATGAGCTGGACGTCGTCGACGCGGAACAGATCGGACGGCATCACGGTACTACCAGGACGCTGACACCTATCACGCTCCACCACCTGCCCACAAAACCCCAACCCCCCTCTCCCCTCTCTCCCCTCCACGAGCGGGTCAGAGAGCCTGCAGGCGTTGAGCCAAAAAGCCACTGCCGAGAAAGAGATAGAGGGGGCGAGAGACGTCCCACGCCACGTCGCCGCACCGCGCGCTCCCGTCCAAACCCCACTCCAGCCCCGCCCCGCCCCGCGCGATCCGAAACCCCCACTAACAAATCCTTCGCCGGATCGGGCCGGCAGATCTCGCCATTGCCCATTTGTCCTGCTCCGCCCTCACCCTCTGCTCCTCCTGCTGCTAGTGCCGGCGGCGGTTGCGCAGTACTGTTCGGTTGGTCGCCGGGGCCGGAGGGATGTGGCGGCTGAAGATCGCGGAGGGCGGGGCCGACCCCTGGCTGCCCACCAAGAACGCGCACGTCGGCCGCCAGGTCTGGGAGTTCGACGCCGCCGCCGACGACCCCGACGCCCTCGCCGCCGTCGACGCCGCGCGCCGGGAGTTCACCGCGCGCCGCCACCAGCTCAAGCACAGCGCCGACCTCCCCATGCGCATCCAGGTGACCCGACGAATCCAATGCCCCCTCCCGCCCCTCCCCCTCGGTCGCCGCTGCCCTGCCCTGCATGCCACGATTCCGGCTGGCTCCGTGACGGCGAAGCCCCGCAGTTTTTTTTTCCTACCGTAGCTACATTTTTCTCACCTGGACGAGGCCGCCCGAAATTCCCGACGACTAGTCGTCGCGTACTGCTCAATCAAGGCAGCAGCGAGCCGCCTTACCCTTCAAAACGAGTTTAATGCGCAGCGAGAGTACAGTATAATATACTATATGCTGCAACCTTTCTAAGGAAAGGAAGATTGCGGCATCATACTGTCAAGTCTCTCCTACACCACTTGGCAAAGGTTTTAATGCGCAGCGAGTATGCTGAGATCCGATCTTGCATACGTATATACTACGATGAATATCCGAGACGCAAGAGCCACTCTCCGGATGGGCACGGGCACGGCCCCCCTTTCCCGTTGCCAACTGCTCCTACTTCAGCTTTTAATGCCCACCAGAAGCACAGTACAGTGCACGCGATCGGCAAGTGTGCTGACTGACGCTGGGCGCTTGGTTCTCTGAACGAGAGGCATGACTCCTGCAGTTCTTTCTTTCCGTTAATAGGAACCAGGAAATTTCCAGGTGTACTACAGCTGTGTACTACCAAGCAACCCCAAAGAGCAAGCGAGGAGAGTGTATCCTGTAGCAGACTCGATTTAAGCAACGTTCAGCTGAACGGTAGCTATCGCCATTTATAACAGCACTTGTGATCAGAAGGTCTATGATGTTGATTGATGACATGCTTGTGTTGCGTGTGGTAGAAGGAAGGACACGGTATCGCTGTTATCTCCACTAGAGTCATTTCCCTTACCTTCAGGTTAAAAGGTTTTTAACCCAATTACCACAGAGATGGTCGATACTTTTCAGGACTGGGTTAAGAGTTAAGACCAGAAGCACAATTTATAGTGCTCTAACAGTACTATTTAGCAACAGGGCAGACCAATTCTTGACGCTGGAATAGTGATATTTTCCTGAGTCTTTTCCTTTTTGTTCTACCACTTCAGTTCAACTTGCCTGTGGATTCTTTGTACTACTAAAACTAGGGTGTTTTTCTACTTGGAATATCTCCGTAGCTTCTAAAGCGTTCGTGCTCTTGTATGTACTGCAGCTTGCAAAAGAAAATCCACTTAAGTTGGATCTTCCTGCTATCAAGCTGGGGGAGAATGAAGATGTCACGGAGGAAGCCGTATCGACCACTTTGAAAAGGGCGCTCAGCACCTTTTCTACTCTCCAGGCACACGATGGACACTGGCCTGGGGATTATGGGGGTCCTATGTTCCTTATGCCAGGATTGGTACTTCCCCTGGCTTGACATTTCATTTAAAAACTTGTTTATGTCATATGGAAACTTACTCACTGCATTTTATCTTCTATTCAGCTTATAATGCTACATGTTACTGGAGCACTGAACACTGTTTTATCATCAGAACATCAAAAGGAGATCCGTCGATATCTCTATAATCATCAGGCAAGGATCTATTTGCCAACTGTGCCATCTCACAGTGGATAAAGTAAATAATTTTTTTGGTGATTGTGTGTAGAATGAAGATGGAGGTTGGGGATTACACATTGAGGGTCCAAGCACCATGTTTGGCTCAGCCTTGACCTATGTTTCTTTGAGATTGCTTGGTGAGGGCCCAGATAGTGGAGATGGAGCTATGGAGAAAGGTCGAAACTGGATTTTAGACCATGGGGGAGCAACTTATATAACATCATGGGGAAAGTTTTGGCTTGCGGTATGGAATTAACATTTTTTCCTCTCTATGAAGGCTGCTTCCATTTTGCACAATCTGGCTATGGCCTAAGGAATTCCTCCTAATTCCCTGACTTATTTAAGGTACTTGGTGTATTTGATTGGTCTGGTAACAATCCACTGCCACCGGAAATATGGATGTTGCCGTATTGCCTGCCAGTCCACCCAGGTTCTTTTTTGCACTATGCCAGCATTAATTGCTTTGATCTTCGATGTTGGTTATGTCTTGCTGATATGCCTGACGCTATCGTGCAGGTCGAATGTGGTGTCACTGCAGAATGGTCTATCTACCCATGTGCTACGTTTATGGAAAGAGGTTTGTCGGCCAAATTACACCAATTATATTGGAACTAAGAAATGAACTCTTCAAAGTCCCCTACAGCGAGGTTGATTGGGACAGTGCTCGCAATCTCTGTGCTAAGGTTTGCTTATCTCAATCTTTCTTAGTAATGTTGATGTGTGCGAGGCAAATTTCTTATGGGCCAGGATGAATCAGAGTTAATGGAAAAATCCTAAGTAGATCTACTTGTGCCAATGTGGTCCTCACTCTAGGAAAGAGTCTTTAAGATGACCCATAGCCAAGGTACAAAGTCTTTAAGAAACCTCATTGCCAAAGTACAGGGTCTTTAAGAAGTCCCATTGCCAACATAATGAGTTGACATAGCCATTTTGATTTGAATAGCAGTATGGGCCATGAATATGAAATACAGTTTCAGAAATATTCGTTGTACCACTGAATAGTTTACTAGTCCTTGGTTCGGAGGCTTTGATATAAGCAGCCTGCAAGCTTGATGGGGATTGCCTTGTATTCCCAGATTTTCATGCTTGTAAGTTGCTATCGTACACTGCCTGGTGCAGGAGAAAGACTGATTGCGGTGCATCTTCCATGTGAATGTGGTCAAAGCGTTTTGTTGTGCTAGTTATAACTCATGATTCAATAGGTGATAACATCTGAAAACACAATAGATTGGGATACCATAGCCGCCTGAAGAGCACGGTTCCCTCTCATTTGTGCTTGCTTCATAATTGCAGACTCAATTAACATAATTATCTTAATGTAGCTGGCTCTTTGTGGTATTTGAATATTCTTCAAGAATTCTGGTGCATTTACCGTTATTGCTTGTGTAAACATAGTAGCGAAATAATCCCGCTGTGTTACATAAGATAGTAAGTATTGTATAATAGTCCGGTTTTCCGTGATTTTTTTCCCATTCCTCTTTACAAATAGCCTATATGGGTTCGCAATCAATAGCATCTTCACCATTGAGAGTATTCCCTTTTCCTTCAAAGAATAGATCATAGATTACTGGTCTTAGCGGAAGGGGAAGTAATTATAGATATATAGTTAATCTTTGAAATTTATAGAAGCCTAAGCTGCCCTATTTATCTTTCTTTATCTGCATGATGTCTATTTAGGATCTAATGATTAAGATTGTTCTTTGAAGGGTTTTTCTTGCGCTTTATTGTAGGAAGATCTGTACTACCCACATCCACTCATACAAGATATCTTATGGGCCACTCTCCATAAATTTGTCGAACCTGTTATGATGCACTGGCCTGGGAACAAACTGAGAGAGAAATCTTTGAACCATGTCATGCAGCATGTTCATTATGAAGATGAGAACACTCGATACATTTGCATTGGTCCTGTGAACAAGGTAATTTGAAGAATATGCTTGCCTGCTGATCCGCCTTTTGTCTTTTTCTTGCTTCAAGCATCAGGATGATCCTTTCGTCTTGTAAGATTGAAACATAATAACTGCAGTGCTTTATTTCATGCATGCCTCTTTAAACTTTCTGGTTTTGCTGGCCTGATTGTCCAGCCACTGTACTGTAGCAGTACCTGTGCCCAAATCGCATGTGAGAACTAAAGATATTTCTATCTACAGCCTTGTAATTGACCACAATTGCAGCAGCAAGTTCACCTATTGTTACTTCATGTAATACCATATGCCACGATTATATATTGCGGGTTTGCCCTTTGGTTTTAAAACATGTACACTTCTATGTCACAAGGGCTGAAGGACTTGTGGACAGTATCCTCTAATGCCAAGCTAGTGTCCCCTAATGCAAACCATAGTGTTCAGTAATGCTAAACCATAATCCTCTGTAAAGCGCACAGAAGTTACAAACAAGCATTATTTGAATGGTTTGTGAAGCTTTACAGGGGTTTATTTCATTTCTGCTCCAATTCATAATATTTTTAAATCGGAAATTGTTCTTAGTACCTTAATATATATGACGATTTCTTTAGTTTGGGACATGTGTTCATTTTGTTCACTTCTCCCTATCTTGCTGATTTAGTGGAGAAAGAATCCTCATATTCTATGATTTCTTGTTCAAAGCTTGTGAACTTACATACCAGGAGTTTAAACCTTAATAATGTCTAGATAAGTTTAATATATTCTCAAAAAAAATCATACTGTTCAACTGATTATTGAATAAATTTATGTGCAGGTATTAAATATGCTTGCTTGCTGGATTGAAGATCCAAACTCAGAAGCATTCAAGCTACACATTCCAAGAATATATGATTACTTATGGGTTGCTGAAGATGGCATGAAGATGCAGGTAATGAGTTTTTATTTACTTCATTCATTTACTTTTCACTAAGGCAGCTGCTACGATAGGAGACAGCTATTTGTCTATGTCTTACTGTCTTTACATGGAACTGGAAAGTTGTTTTTTTGTACTCGGTTAGTAACCGGATTTCCTGCTTATACCAGTCCATCATTAGCTTTTCTTTCTCTTTGATCATAATTGATCCAATTTCTGTCCACTGTAGGGTTATAATGGCAGCCAGCTCTGGGACACAGCTTTTGCAGTTCAAGCTATTGCGGCCACTGACCTCATTGAAGAGTTTGCTCCCACTCTTAAGCTGGCACATGATTACATTAAGAACTCTCAGGTACATGTCACATGGCTATTTGTTTATCAGTCAACACTTGAAGTGCATTTTACTTAACAAAAAAGAAACGTTTAAGTACATTTCAGTACTTAGTACTTACCTGTTGCTATTATATGAAAGGTTGTTGATGACTGCCCTGGAGATCTGAGTTACTGGTACCGTCACATATCTAAAGGTGCATGGCCCTTTTCTACAGCTGATCATGGTTGGCCTATATCAGATTGCACTGCAGAAGGACTAAAGGTGAGTTAGGCCGTCAGTATTACCAACAAGGAGCTACCTTCAAAGTTAAAACTTTGTCCTGTTTGAAATCTAGGAATTTTTATTCTTGCACCATACGGAATAAGAATCATTCTGGCTCTCATATGTATAAGATTTGGTTTTTAGCTGCTGGTATGTTGTGTCAATTGCCAAGTTCTCATATGCATAACCATTTGTTTTAAATAGTTTAATTGTTGAATTTTCTTTTACCTTCAGGCCTCATTATTGCTATCAAAGATTTCTCCAGAAATAGTGGGCGAACCAGTGGAAGTTAACAGACTATATGATGCTGTCAATTGTTTGATGTCTTGGATGGTAAATGCATTCAAACTTTTAGATTGTGTTAGTTGTAACTATTGTATCAGTTTGCCTAGAAGAGGGTCGATATCTCTCTCTCATGTCATGTGACCACTCAGTCTAGGAGTAGTGAATTGTTACTTTTTTATATATCTACTAGCTAGATGCCCGTGCGTTGCCACGGAATGGCAAATAATATACACACCAATAGAACTCCTTAGTAGCCATTTGTATCTCCTTAACTAACATCTTGCAATCAGATACTTACATGCAAGTGTAGCAAATGGTAAGGGATAAATGTAGGTCGCGCGCCTCTATTTTATCCTAGCTTGTTTTTTATCGACAAATAGGGTGGAACCATCCTAGCTCCAATCACGTGTTGTATAAATTTATGCTGAAATAAATATTTATATCCAAGCACAAAACAATGCAAATTGCAGCTCACAAATTTGTAAGAAATATGGAGTATAATACATCAAAAGTGGTACATGCTACGGGATCAAACAATTAGAACTAATATTAAACCAGTCATTTGCTTGCTTTTTCCCCCAGTATCTTCAGAGGAAAATGAGACAGATAGATAAACCAAATTTTGAGCTAGCTCTGTATCTTAATATAATGGGAGGTGGGAAGCAAAAAGGGAAAACCCAAAAGAAGGTATAGAAGCCTCACATCCAGGTTTTCAAGAGAGTGTCTTTGAAATGTTTCCATTAGTATTTCAATAGAGCAACATGCAGTGCTCACATTCAAAATCAGAACAGAGTATATGAAATGCATAGCATGTCCATCACCACAGAAACGAAGCAGGGAACCAATCGAAGAGGGCGTCAAACATAATACGAAAACTGCTGACAATATAAATGACACTAATAATAAAAAAAACTAATTCAGACATATTTTTTTCTTTCTCCTCTCTCAATGGCTATGATGTGAAATAATGCTCAAACTATTGACACATATGTTAGGGGAGAAGGTAAGGTCCTGAGTATAGCTATGAAGAAGATGGATAGTTCTTCAAGGCAACTACAAACAATTAACTGCCTAACCTGCAGGGATAACACAATACTACAGATTAAAAGATTTATTATTTGTGAACCACAATATGTAGCTTTGGATACTAAGAGCCAGTTAATTGCATGAGGTACATCCATCTTCTAGCAAGGCTCAGTGGCTACTTGAAACCAAAACATGGCTGTCGATGCTGCCCTCCACCTCCAGATCCTTACCGAAACGAGATAGAATTGCATTAGTGTACAAATAATAATGAGAACATGATAAAAGATGCCTGGTCAATTTGACAGTGAAATGATGCATATGGTATTTGACAGTCAAAATACAAGGTCTTTTGTACCTTTTTGCAGGGTCAATGTTGGTGTATGAAATATCAATACCTGGACACTAAATATGAGCTGGTAAATTTGTGCAGATAATAAAATAAACATATGTGTGAGCTGCAAATTTCTAGAATATAAACATACCTCTACATACATGCTGCTAATTTAACAACACAACACATTTTACGTTGAATGTAAGGAAACTCTGCTGAAGTAAAACTATTGGCAATCCGCATCCATATCTACATGCATCTTTGCAGCTCCAGCCCTGATGCAAACGTTTAAATTCCAGTCGTCATTTATTTCAAAAAACAGGAGTACCATTAACCTTCAATTTCACTGATCTAATGTAATTGAGAATCAACAAACTTATCAAGCATCCGATGAATCAGGATTTGGTAATTTTACCTCACTCAGTTTTATTATATATTAGGTTCCTGGAGCAGACAAGTGATTGATAATCTCCCTCTGCACATTCTCATCAATCCACACACACAGAGAAACAAACCCCAAAATTATCCATCCAGTAAGAAAATCATGTAGCAATAGTCACCACGCTTCAGTCGAGGATTAATTTATCACTAAGGAACCAACTCCACCAGCAGGATGATTTGCTGAACCCGCGATGACCAAATCCTAAAACTAAGCACAACGGGAAAGAAGCAAAAAAAACAGGACACACATACGTTCTTGCCTTCTTGATGTACTTCATGGGAACGAGCTCCTTGATGTGCTTGTCCTTGACCAGCATCATGTCGTCCGCATTTGTTCCTGCATGCGTTCGCAGCTGTTAGGCCTTGGTGTCGTCCACACAGTCCATGATTACCCCTGGTATGCCAGCTCGTCCTTTCCATCATGCGTTGCCGCTGCAGCCGGTATATATGTAGCTGCTTCCCTACAGAAGTTGTCCAGGATGTGGCTGGGTGGAGTGAATAAATATATGAAATGACCAATTATATACTACTCCATGGAATCATGAACCATCCAGATGCCAATTTTGTATACCACGTAAATTAGAAAGATGCACATCCAGTCCAGGTTGATGCTGCTTTTAGGATGTTAAGGATCTGAAACAGGAACCACTATCAGGGTCATAAATCAACCCTCTACTTTCACGGAGAAACACAACCTGGGAACAAAAAGAAAAGAGATGAATTCATATGAGAAGCTAGGTCAGGTAACACCTACTGTCTTCGTAGGCGGCGTCTTCCACGGCGTCGTCGCCATTGGCGCGATGTCCGTGATGCCGAAAGACGACCAGTTCCACGCGGAGATCGGGATCGTGCTTGCTCACGCCCTAGGGCACGGCGGCCATGAGGCGAAGGCGCTCGACGTTGGCTACCTACACGGCTTGGAGCGTGTTGAGGCGCTCGTGGACGCCCGCTCTTGAGAAGGTGGGATTCCCACTGCCGCCGCCGCCGCCCTGTACCTACTCTTCCTCCCTCTCTTTCTCCACCATCTCCTCCGGACGCGTCATGGGTGGGGATGGGGGTCTGGGGGAGCAACCACATGAAAGGGCAGAGAGGGTGGAGGAAGGGGGTCACGATGGAGGGGATCGTGGGAGCCCCGTATGAGAGGATCGTGCGTGCGTGGGTTTGTTTACAAAGATGGCTCGTGGCGGCTATTTTAGCGCTGCTCTTTTTTTTTCATTTGCGTGTTGAATGGGGGAGCGATCGTGGCCCTCGCCAGAGAGTTTTTTTTGTAGATGGTTATCGCTCGTGGGGCAGGAGGTCGAACCATCACGACGACGGCAGGTTCTCCTTTAATAGTAGAGATATCTATGCAAATATGAAAAGTATGAGTTAGAGTTTGATCCAAACAATCTTAGCCATTCTTAATATTTATGATCTTCATCTCACAGATCCAAGGGTTGAGAATTTTACTTGGAACCTTATCCCTTATTCTCTCCTCTAATAATGGTCTATTTGATCGATAGTTCATAAATAATAATGGATCGTCTATTTTAGTTGTACGTTTGTAGCTTACCGTTTAGTGTATGGTTAGTGCTTAGCCTTTCTTCCTTTGAGTAATGTACATGGTGAAAAATAATTTCAATACTGTACACTTACATTATAAATTTGGGTTTCTACATATATGGATATATTTTATTCTATGCAATATATATGGCAAGAAATTCCCTGCAGAATTATTATGCAAGGGTAAGGCTGTCTAGAAATTCCCTTCCCCACTTCCCACCTTTTGTGGGAGCTTTCAGCACTGGGTACGCCCTATTTTTGTAATATATATGGCTAGAAATGTGCATTGCATGTGGATGGTTGCTAGTATATACTATAAAGCATCAGATAGGTTTTGTCATATAGGATAATTCTATCTGCAAGTGCTTTTTTGCTATCAGTACATTACTGTGAAATGGTAAAATTTTGATATTTTACAAAGCTGCAGTTTGGTTATATCGCAGAAGGTATTTTATCTGCAAGTGCTTTCGGCCTTCAGGATAAGTACTGCTAAGCTGTTGATTAATATCGGGTAGTATTTCTATCTTCTGCTAAATTGCACAGATCATAAGGCAACACTGTATTAGTAAAGTGGTGTTATTTACTGAACACCAGGGCTCTCCCTTGCTGTATTCACTTCAAAACCAAAGTGGAGCAGTGGATTAATGGATACTGTGTAGTTGCAAATTGGACTTTGCTATGAAAATTTTGGTTGCCCTGGTAGCTCCACCAGATTATTGCCCCAGGGATAACGTATATAAAACTGTTGTGGACTAGACTCCTTCAAAAGGAAGAAACCTGTATTTCAAAGTCTCCAAAGTTTTGTTCCCAGCAGTTCTCTTCTATGTATTTTTTTTTGCATTATATGTAAAACATTATTTTGAGACGTGCCATTTTAACAAATTTGTTTTAATCTTTACAGAATGAAAATGGTGGCTTGGCAACATATGAACTCCAAAGGTCTTATGCCTGGCTTGAGGTATGTACCTGCCTCATTTGTTTGTTGTTGTGCTACCATTACAACTAGGAGGTTGCTCTTAAGTTGCGTGCTTCATGAAGTAATTGCCTCATTTGAACCATTAAATATCAAGTCAAAGAGGACAGGTACATCCATTAAAAAATCCATATTGAATTAATACAGGTTTACTGGACCGATGTTTCCTTTGTTTGAAAACTACAACCAATCATTAGTCATATAATCTTTCTTATTGATTTACGAAAATTCTTCCATCTGATTGTTTGTTAAACTGTTCAGCTTATCAACCCTGCCGAGACCTTCGGAGATATTGTGATTGATTACCCGTAAGATGCAATAACTTGTCAATTTTTATGCTGCTTGCCATAGAGAGACAAACTGAAAAAAAAATAATACTCTATTGGTGTCAGGTATGTGGAATGTACCTCAGCCGCAATTCAGGCCCTGACATCATTTAAAAAGCTCTATCCTGGGCACCGCAGGAAAGATGTAGATAACTGTATCAACAAAGCTGCTTGTTACATTGAGAGCATTCAAAGAAAAGACGGTTCCTGGTTAGTTTTCAGACACCATGTAGAAGAATACAAGTAATACATGCATATAACACTGCGTCGTTCTATATCCGTTTTCCTACAGGTATGGCTCTTGGGCTGTGTGCTTCACCTATGGCACATGGTTCGGAGTGAAGGGCCTAATAGCTGCAGGTCGAACCTTCAAGAGCAGTCCTGCAATCAGAAAGGCATGTGACTTTCTGATGTCAAAAGAGCTTCCTTTCGGTGGCTGGGGAGAAAGCTATCTGTCATCTCAAGATCAGGTAGATTCATTTCTACCTAGTTTTGTATATACTTGCAATCTTGTTTACTGGAATACTGGATTGCATCTCTATATTCCAATCTTCATCGTCAGTGTGCTGTGATAAATATTGTATGCCATTCTATTAGAATTAATGTTAATACTGTTACATATGAGTCAACGTAATGGACGACAACCTGATATAAAACTCTCTTTTTCATCTAAAGAGTCATTTGCTCTTTTTCCTGCTTTCACCGTTCACGACTGCATGCCCTGTAAAGCATGGTATTCTTGCATCTTGATCTTTAGATGCACATCGTCTTCCTGGGGACCATAAGGAAGTTTTACTAACCAATAATCATGTTTTGACTTCCATTCAATTAGGTTTACACCAATCTTGAAGGGAAGCATACTCACGCTGTCAACACTGGCTGGGCCATGCTGACTCTAATTGACGCAGGACAGGTGTGTTTACAGTTACCTGTGGATTGTGGTAGTACCATATGATGTGTTCATTCACGATGGTTCTTAAAATCTTGTTTGGGTACAGGCTGAGAGAGATCCGACGCCTCTGCATCGAGCAGCGAAGGTTTTGATAAACTTACAATCAGAGGATGGGGAATTTCCTCAGCAAGTAAGTCATAAATGCTTCACCACCATCTCATGGTTTCTCAACATACAAAATTTCTCTAGATCCAAAGGAAAACATTTTAGTAATAAACACAGCTGTGCATGTGAAGGCAGTTCAAACCAGTGCAGCGAAACGTAACTACTATTTGACCAGAGAAAACCTTTCCTTTTGCGAATCAAGAGCTTTATTACTCAATTAGGAGGATTACACGGTAGCTGAATACAACTAAGAAAGAAGACATATAGTTAATCCACAAACATTTCCTCTCTTCTGTGGCTTGCTTTGCACACCGGTGGGCTGCTTCATTGGCTTCCCTTTGCACAAACACCAGACCATGGCTCATAAACCCTCCCAAAAGCTCTTTGATTTCATGGCAAACAGCTGCATCCGCTGCTCTCTCTGAAAATTCAGAGTTGTACATCTTAACCATCTCTTTAGTATCAATTTCAACACATATCCTGGAGTGGCCCATTCTTTGGCTAGTTGAATCCCGTCCTGGATAGTGTATAGCTCCATAGTTTGAACACTTGATGCAAATCGATACCACAAGGCCTGCGCTCGAATTAGGTTGCCCTCTGAATCTCGGACCACCAGCCCTGTGCTTCCACAGCCTGCCTGCTCAAGAAATGCCGCATCCACATTGATTTTCAGTGTCCCTTGTTCCGGTGCTTGCCAGCAAGCTTCCTCCCTGTCACCGCAGGGCGAGTAACTTCACCTGCTGTTTTAAATCAACGGCATTACCAAGTGCCCACTGAACAGAAGCTTGAACTGATCGGCCCTTCTCGTCGTGAGTACGAGCATTCCTTTCAGACCAAACCTCCCAGCAGCCGCACAATACAATGCATACAAATTGGTCTGATCCCAGTTGTCTTCAATCAAATCTGAAGCTCACGATTGCGGATGTAGCACTGGGATTTGTATATGCATCATGGTCTTCATCTCCTTCCAGAAGAGTCTCGCCCGTGCATTCTAACAGAGCATGGGTTATAGTTTCCTCCTTGCAACATAGGTCGCAGAATGGGATTTTTTCTATGTATCTGGTGAGCAGAACAGATTTACATGGCACAAATCCTCTTATAACTCTCCACCAAAAGTTCCTGACTCTTGGTGGTACCGACAGTTTCCATAGTTTGTTCCAGAAGACATTTCCTGCCGTGCCTGAAGAAGATGGTTCATAGGAATGTGTCATACTTGTGCTCAGAATTTTATACACCGACCGAACAGAAAAATTAGCATTCCTCACCAACGCCCAGGCCGAACAATCTTCACCCCAGTCACTATTGGTGTTTTAGCAATAGCCTGAACATCAGGTGCTGCAAAGTTTGCTTCGAAGACATTAAGATCCAAACTATTATTCTGAAGATCAATAAGCTCCTCCACCTTAGTGACTGTATCCCCTGGTAACCGAATAATTGGACGATAGCCATAGAGGGTATCCAAGGGTCCTCCCATATGTTAATACTAGCACCATCCCCCACATGTTTAATCAGCCCTAGTTTCAGGGATTCTCTTCCATGTAAGTATGAGAGGAGTTCCCCTTTTTTGTTGCTGCCAAGAAATCTAAATCATGATAATATCGGCCTTTGAGCACCTATGCACAAAGCGAGTCAGGGTTGGTCAATAGCCTCCACCCTTGTTTAGCCAACATGGCTTGATTAACTAGGCCAAAATCCCCTCACATTTTGGGATAGCTATGTCCTGCACTTTTTCCAATGCATTTTCTTTTTATCACCTCCCCACCAGAATCCGCAACAATACTTGTGATCTTTTTGCATGTCTCTTTGGACAGTCTAAAACATCCCATTGAATAGGTAGGAATTGCTCGTCTTTTTGCATGATATTTGATACAGTGCTAGGGAAGCTCAAGCGTTATATGATCTAAATTTGTTTTTTGTCGCATTTAACAGGAGATCATGGGAGTCTTCAACAAGAACTGCATGATCAGCTACTCCCAGTATCGGAACATCTTCCCCATCTGGGCGCTCGGCGAGTACCGCTGCCGAGTGCTGGGCGCGGGCAAGAAGTAGTACCATCTTCCTTCTCTTTGGCCGGGTTACGTGGTGGAGATCTGGTAGCCATATAGATTTTCTTTAACCATTTGATGAGTAGAGGAATAAACTGGTTTGTACATCTAAATCTGGTCTGGAGAGGGGTATATATGTCGCCTGTAGGGCCTGTTTGGTTGGATACCTAAACACCGTGCCTGGAGAAATGGACTGCCTGGATTGAGCCTGAGATGATTGAAAATATTGCCTGGCGAGGCTATGTGCGTTTGGTTGATGTCCTTGGACTGACGATGTGCGTCCCCTGTGCGTCAGAGTACTTAAATCATTTAAATACAGCCGGGCTGCTGCTGTAGGAATAAGGAATAGGAAGCATGAGTACCCTGCGGGTGTGAAAGTCCCTTTCTACTCCAAAGCTCATATGAGCTTGGAATGAACAGCAAATTCCAGAAAAATACTCCCTCCATTCCATATTATAATGCGCATAGATTTTTGCATAGATTCCGAAATATAGTGCGGATAAGCTGCTTTGGACAAAAGTAGCCCAAGCAGTCGGAGGGCAATTCCTGTCCAAATGAGAACGCCAGCTCACGCATCTATAATACCTAAATAGTTTATCCCCACTATCCTATTTCTCTTGACATGCAGCCTGTCCACATCAGCAAGCCAGCCACATCATCATTTGACTACTGGCTTACAGGAGGGACCGACCATGAGTTCACCAGCGTAAAAAATGGCCACATCAGCGTTCAGTTACCGGTTGGGAGGATGGACCATCGGCCCATCAGCGCCACACACGGACGTCATTCTCCCTCGAGTCAGCCCACCCACCTGCTCTCTCTCTCTCAGTTGTGAACCCACCGTGTCTCAAAAAAAAAGTTGTGAACCCACCAAGATTATTTCTCCTGAAAAAAGGACCAGTCTTTCCTGTATTCATCTTTCCCCCGATTATTCCCCACGTCGGCGGTCAGATCCATAGGCCCTCACGACGTTGATCTGTCTGAGCCCTGCTCGCTCCAGCGGCCTTCCCACGATGGCGGTCAGAGCCAGAGGACCTCCCTCATGGCATTGCTCTGCTCCATGCCGTTCTGCGTCGGCGGCCGCCATGGACAGATCGGACATTCGGACACGACGCGTCCCCAGTTCCAGCGGGATCGGGAAGGAAGAGGACGGCGATCTACGGAGTACAGCTGAAGCTCATGTTCTCCTGTTGTTCTTCACTCTTTTTTTTCCCTTTGCTCACACGAGCCGTACATAGCCCGTTGCTTCAACTGCTGTGCAGCCCAATGCTTGAAATGGCCCACACTGTTTATCTTCTCCGTTTCCATAACTACCTCCTAAAAAGAAAAAAATCTGCTGCAGGTAATTGATGGTCGACGCTCCGCTTCCTCTCCCCACGATGTCCACAAGAAACTGACGGGTTCCCTTTTAAAGTTGCTGCCCCACTCATTTTATTCCCATCGTCCTCCCATATGGATGGATGTCTGCCATACGACGCTCATACTGCTGCCAGTGGTCAGCAACTCTCTCCTCTCTCCTAGCCATTCCCTATGTCAGTCATCTTGGTTATTCTTCCTCTCTCCTAGCCATTCCCTATGTCAGTCATCTTGGTTATTGCGCCTCAGGTTTATGGGTCCTATTGGCACATAATGTCCCCATCCATCACTAATTCTGAATTTTTGTGTGTTTCGTTGATATGTACATATAATTTTGGTTGATTGAATACATAGCTTTCAATTTCTGTTCTTTCTCTATTCCGGATGTTTGATTGATATGCTCATTTGTTTGATTGAATACACAACCTTGCATTTTAATTCTTTCCCTATTCCAATTCTGAATTTAATTTTTGCTTGATTCAATATGTAGCCTTCCATTTAAATCCTTCGGGTTTCTTCTCGGCTGCCTTGGGATCGAGCTGCTGTTTTCTTACTGAAGATTACTCCCCACACACTCTCCAATATGAAGGTAGATGCAAGTTACAGTTTCTGAGTAATTTTATTACGGTATACACATGGGAAGATTACTATTTAGTTTCTGACTATATGCGTTTCTGAGCGTTTGTGGGAAGATTACTTTTCAGTTTGTGGCTACATGCAAATTTATGTTTCAGTTTCTGAGTTTTTGTGGGAATATTACTATTCAGTTTCTAACCATATGCAAATTCATGTTTCATACTGGAACCTTTTTCTAATTATATTTTCTTACTGATGAAGAGTACTTCCCAGGCACGCTCCAATCTGAAGGTATATGCAAATTCAAATGTTTTATGGCGAAGCATGTTGGCTCGCTTCCTTTTTTATTGAGGTTCCACAATAGTTCTTCTACACTTCCCTCTGTGTAATTGTTCCATGTAGATTTTAGGTAAAGAACACAAACTATGGATGCATTAATCGATTATTCTCGAGTTTCTTTTGTTTGGTCGACAAAGAATCACTGAAACTTAATAGTGTGCTGGAGATTACGAATAGATAGAAATTGTGAAGATAAACTTTTCATGCTACTTTTCCCATTTTATTTGCTTTTAGGCACAGTGAAGAGTTTCCTGGTGTCACAAGCTTACTCCAAATATCACATATACAAGTGTGTAAAGACTATCTAGGTACACAGCAAGATCCAAAAAAATCAATTAAGGTCTATCGATTGATCTAATTTTCCTTAATACATTGCGTTTGTGCAAAACCTGATTTTACAGCACATGCTCATCGGTGCTTCCGTCGGACTGCGCATCATGGGGTCGAAGCCTCCTGATCGAGGTGCATGCTTCAAGGTACAGCCTCCGCGCGCTCTCTCATAGCAATCTCGATGGAGTCAACCTCTCTTCCCGACCTTCCTCAGTTGCTATTTTTTCTATCTCAATTTCATTTGCTCATAATTGCTACCTCCTCTCTTCTCCTCATGTCAACCGGTCCCGTTTAATCCCGTTTAAAGTCCACTTATGGTATGATAGTTTAAAAAGGTTTTTTGTTTGTTTGAGGAAAATGAACTATCAAGCTAGCAAAAATTAACTAAACAGGATTGTGGACGCCATTTATCTGCCACTTACATCCATACTCTCTTCCCGACCTTCCTCAGTTGCTATTTCTTCTATCTCAATTTCATTAGCTCATAATTGCTACCTCGCCTTCAAATGTACTGGTTCTTAGTTATGGTTGACCCTTTTGTACAACAAATTATATTGGATTCATTGCAGCAATCACAGGTAGACCCACGCATAAACATGTGTCGGTTAATTTAGTTCTAATTTAAACTCTAATGGCCCCTTATTATTATTTTTTGAATCTCAATCTTATACTGGCTAGCAGATAAATCAACCTTGCGGTCATGGTGATGTTGAAGTCTCCCTTCATCTCCATCTGATGCATCACACAGCTGGCTCTACGGTTATTACGATGTTTTCTGTTTCTCCATCTCGCTGCCAGCTTGCAGCCTAAGCTTTACATAATGCAGAAGCATGCATAGTTGCGCATCAGAGAAGGCAAAAGTAATAATAATCAGAGGTGCCTAGGTATACTATCGTGAAAGACAACCCAAAATAAATAGCAGTATGTTGCACAAAATTGTTCCGCTGAGAAGACTAAAAAGTGAGTCTCTTGATTTATAGGTGACCCTTTTATTATAGAAAATCAGATTATGTGTAAACCCACGTTTTATATAATTTTTCAATGGAATGCACAACAATAGTTTCTACTATGATGCTATCATTGTTTTAGGTTCTACAAATGGATGAGATGTCTCTATTAGCTCTACTTCACGTTTTTTTCCTGATCACCTTGATGATAAGCTCTGAAGGTAAGGAGTTAAAGAAAAAAATTCAGATACACACATTGTCTGGCTTTTCGTCACATTTTCTCAAGATACTTTAAATAATATTTCCTTAAAAAATTTCCATGTCATTTTCATATACAATGTTTTCTTAAAATCTCATGTTTTTAAACATCAAATATTATTTAGCCGTTCCCGCAGCAACGCGCGGGGTATCATCTAGTTGGTATAAATGCTACACACAAAGGCGCATTATAAAGTGGAACAGAGGGAGTAGTAGAAAGTTTAGAAATATTCTGAATTTTTAGGGTGCAAATTTGACAAATATTCTCAGTGCTTGGAAATTTTCATCTCGAAACAACATTCATGTAAGACATGACAAAAGAAACAAAATCAGCACTCCAAAAATTCTTTCAAATATATCATTTTTGGAGCAACGGTTTTGATTTTTTTATCATGACTTTAAGGAATGTCATTTTATGATAAATTTCTGCAAGCACAGTTGTCAAAGTTTGCAACAAAAACAAATCATTTTTATTTATTTTACTATTTTTCTTCTGATTTTACTGTTCATTAGGGAGCATTTGAGCTTGGGAGTAGAAAGGGACTATCTATTTTACTGATTTCACTGTCCCTGCGGGTGCCCCTATTCAGCGACCTGCGCGCTCCCCTACCTCAGCGCTCAATTTGGCCAGCCCATGTGCGCATGCACCCCTGTTCTTTTGTCTCAAATTAAGTAAAATGATCAGGATTTCAAAAGGGTTATTAATATTAGAAATTATTCATCAATTTGAAAAATGTTCACAAAAACAAAAAAGTTTGGAATTCCATAAAATGTTCATAAATCAACAACTGTTCATGTTTTTTTAAATGTTCGAAAATTTCAAAAAATGTTCCCAAATAAAAAAAGTTCACCGATCCAAATGATGTTGGCAGATTCAAAAAAAATAATGAATTCAAAAAATGTTTGTGAAAACAGAAAACCAATCTTTGTGAATTTCCAAAAAAAATCTCAAATTTTAAAAAATGTTCATGGACTCGAAAAATGTTGACAATTTCAAAAAAAAGTAGCAAATTTGTGAAAAGTATTCATGATTTCATTTTTTAGGGTATTCGATAAATGCTCACAATTAGAAAAAAAATTCATGATTTCGGAAAATGTTCACGTTTCCAGAAAATTTTATATAAATACAACCAAAGTTTAACTTAAGACAGTACTAATATTAAGAGTAAATAAAAGCGAATAAAGTATATAATTAAAT